TGGCAAATATGTTCTCCTATGCAGTGGGCTTTCTTGTTGTTTTGTTGATGGTTTCTTTTGCTGTGCAGAAGCTTTTTATTTTGATGTAGTCACATTTGTTTATTTTCTCTTTAGTTTCCAATGCCCTAGGAGCTCATCAGTGAAGCTGTATTGGTGAAGAAATTGCTTCAGCATATATCTGAGCTTTTGTTGCCTTTGGATTCCTGTAGTATTTTTATGGTTTCCCGTCTTACATTTAAGTCCTTTATCTATTTTGAGTTTATTTTTGTGTATGGTGTAAGTTGGTGGTCTAGCTTCATTTTTCTGCATGTATCTGTCCAATTTTCCCAACACCCTTTATTGAAGAGACTGTCTTGACTCCATTGTATGTTCTTGCCTCCTTTGTCAAATATTAATTGAGCATATTGGTTCGGGCCGATTTCTGGGCTCTCTATTCTATTCTATTGATCTATATATCTGTTCTTGTGCCAGTATCAGGCAGTTTTGAGAACAGTGGCTTTGTAATACAACTTGATATCTGGTATTGAGATCCCACCTACTTTGTTCTTCTTTCTCAGGATTGCTGCAGCTATTTGGGGTCTTTTTTTATTCCAGATGAATTTTTGGAGAGTTCATTCTAGGTCTGTGAAATATGCTGTTGGTATTTTAATGGGAAGTGCATTGAATTTATAGATTGCTTTGGGTAGTATGGACATTTTGATGATGTTGATTCTACCAATCCATGAAGACAGTATGTTCTTCCATCTGTTTATGTCTTCCTCTACCTCTTTTTTCAATGTCCTGTAGTTTTCTGAGTAGAGGTCTTTTACCTCTTTAGTTAAGTTTATTCCTGGGTATCTTAATTTTTTTGGTGCGATGGTAAATGGGATTGCTTTTTTAGTCTCTCTTTCTGTAAGTTCACTATTGGTGTATAGAAATGCCATAGATTTCTTGGTGTTAATTTTGTATCCTGCTACATTGCAGAATTCATTTGTTAAGTCTAATAATTTTTTGATGGAGTCTTTAGGGTTTTCTATGTACAATATCATGTCATCTGGGAATAAGGACAGTTTTACTTCTTCTTTTCCAATTTGGATGCCTTTTATTTCTTCTTCTTGTCTGATTGCAATGGCTAATACTTCCAGTACTATGTCGAACAGGAGTGGTGAGAGTGGACATCCCTGTCTTGTTCCTGTTCTTAGAGGAAATGGTGTTAGTTTTTGTCCATTGAGTATGATGTTGGCTGTGGGTTTGTCATATATGGCTTTTATTATGCTGAGGTATGATCCTTCTATTCCCACCTTGCTGAGAGTTTTTATCAAAAATGGGTGTTGGTTTTTGTCAAATGCTTTTTCTGCATCAATTGATATGACTATGTGTGTACCACACTTTTTTATCCACTTATCTGCTGAGAGGTACTTAGGCTCTTTCCATATCTTAGCTATTGTAGATTGTGCTGCTATGAACATAGGGGTGCATATATCCTTTCTGATTGGTATTTAGGGTTTCTTAGAATATATCCTAGAAGTGGGATGACTGGGTCAAACAGGAGTTCCATTTTTAATTTTTTAAGGAAACTCCATACTCTTTTCCATAATGGCTGCACCAGTCTGCCTTCCCACCAGCAGTGTACTAGGGTTCCCTTTTCTCCACATCCTCTCCAGCACTTGTCATTTGTTTATTTCTTGATGATAGGCATTCTGACAGGTGTGAGGTGATACCTCAATGTCATTTTGATTTGCATCTTTCAGGTTGTTAGTGACTTTGAGCATATTTTCATATGCCTCTTGGCCTTCTGTATGTCCACTTTGGAGAATTATCTATTTAGGTCCTTTGCCCATTTTTTAATTGGATTGTTTGTCTTCCTTCTGTTAAGTTGTATGAGTTACCTATACATTTTGGAGTTAACCCCTTATTGATGTATCATTGACAAATATGATCTTTCATTCCGTGGGTTGCAAATATGTTTTTTAAATTAATTAATTTATTATTTAAGTATAGTTGGTATACAATATTATATCAGTACTAGAGGCCTGGTGCACAAAATTCATGCACTTGGGGGGGTGTTCTTCAGTCTGGCCTATGCCCTCTCACAGTCTGGGACCCCTCACTCCTTACCGCCCGCCTGCTCACTGCTCCTTACTGCTCAGCTTGCTGCTCCTTAGCACTGCTGCAGAGGTGAGAGAGGCTCCCGCCACCACCACTGCGCTCGCCAGCTGTGAGCCCAGCATCTGGCTGAGCGGTGCTCCCCCTGTGGAAATGCACTGACCACTAGGGGGCAGCTCCTGCATTGAGCGTCTGCCCCCTGGTGGTCAGTGTGCACCATAGTGACCGATCATTCTGGTAGTTCCACCATAATGGTTGCTTAGGCTTTTATTATATAAACTAGAGGTCCAGTGCACAAAAATTTGTGCACTTGGGGGTGGGGGGTCCCTCAGCCCGGCCTGTGCCCTCTCGCAGTCTGGGACCCCTCGGGGGATGATCACCTGCTGGCTTAGGCCTGCTCCCTGGGGGATTGGGCCTAAGATGGCAATCAGACATCCCTCTGGCAGCACGGGAGCCCTCGGGGGATGTCCACTTGCCAGCAGGGAGAAGGCCTAAGCTGCAGTCGGACATCCTTAGCGCTGCTGAGGAGGCAGGAGAGGCTCCCACCACCACTGCTGTACTGGCAGCCATCAGCCTGGCTTGTGGCTAAGCAGAGCTCCCCCATGTGTGAGCGCACTGACCACCAGAGGGCAGCTCCTGCATTGAGCATCTGCCCCCTGGTGGTCAGTGTGTGTCATAGTGACCAATCATTCCCAGTCTTTCTGCTGTTAGGGTCAGTTTGCATATTACCCTTTTACTATATAGGATAGAGGCCTGGTGCACGGGTGGTGGCCAGCTGGTTTGCCCTGAAGGGTGTCCCGGATCAGGGTGGTGGTCCCGCTGGGGTCCCTGGCCAGCCTGGGTGAGGGGCTGATGGCTTTTTGCAGCTGGTCACACCCCCTTCAGGGTGGGGTCCCCACTGGGGTGCCTGGCCAGCCTGGATGAGGAGCTGATGGCTGTTTTCAGGCTGGCCACACCCCCTTTAGGGTGGGGGTCCCCACTGGGGTGCCTGGCCAGTCTGGGTGAGGGGCTGAGGGCCGTTTTCAGGCTGGCTAGCAACTGAAGCTCCCAGCCTCTCCTTTTTTTCTTTTTTTTAATTCTGAGATTTATTTACCTTCTATAATTGAAACATTGTTGCTGTCACTGGCGCTCCCTGCTCTGAGGCCGCAGCCGGTTGAAAGCAGGTATCTGGGGTTTGTTTAGCTTCTATAATTGAAACATTGTTGCTTTCGGGCTCAGAGCCGGGCTGCGGCAGGCGGGGAACCTTGGCTTCCTCCATCACTGGAGCAAGCGAGCCTCCTGCTCGCTTCAGCTGCATGGCTGCCAGCTGCCATCTTTGTTGGCAGTTAATTTGCATATCGCCCTGATTAGCCAATGGGAAGCATAGCGGAGGTACGGTTAATTACCCTTTTTGTCTTTTATTAGATAGGACTAGTGACCCAGTGCACGAAATTCATGCACATTAATAGGGGATTAATTAAGGAAGTATTTTAATATTGCTATTTGCCCTTTTTCTATAATAGAAGTGTCAGAGATGAAAGAAAAGTAGTAAAATGTATATGAAAATCTTCTTCCTGTCAGACTCTGGGGTGCACCACGGGACCCAGAGTCAAGTCCCTGCCCACCCGCGTGCACCTCAAAATCACGCAAGACCCAAACCTGGCTGGCCCCACCCCCATTGGGCTAGATCCAGACTTGGCCGGTCCCACCCTTGTCAAGCCCCACTGGGCGGGGTCGCAGCCTCAGGTCCACCTTCAAGCCCTGCCAGGTGGGGGGTGCTGCCTGAGGTCCCCTGTCAAGCCCCATGGGAGGGGGGTGGCGGGCACAGCCTCAGGTCCCTGCTGATTTGTTATTAAGGCTCATTACGGGAACTCGGCCTCCGCTGTGGGCGCCGCCATCTTTGTGATGGAGCGACAGTCAATTTGCATATTCACTCTTTATTATATAGGATATTAGTTTCAGGTGTACCATATAGTGAGTGATTCGACATTTTTATACCTTACACTGTGATCATGTCACTAATTCTAGTAATCATCTGTCACTGAGCAAACTTAGTACAGTATTATTGACCATATCCCCCTTCCATTTTTCACCAGTCCCTCCAACTCTCTCCCCTCTGCCAGTCATTCCTTTGGTCTCTGTTTCTATACTAATAAGTCTAGTTTTATTTTATTTGTTCATTTTAAAAGAATAATTAAGATGAGAATTGACTACCAATGGAAAGATATTCCATGATATAATTTCATATATGTAAATATTAATTACTCTATCCACATTATGTAAAGGAAGTATGTAAAATTTTTACCCATGAGTGTTATTTAGTGCAGCAGAGAATGTAGTAGTCTCAGAAACATTTTAGTTAACTTGAAAAGGATTTTCACATCCCCGAAGCAGCACCAGTTTAAAGAGCATCGTTCACATGTGCTCTAGTAAAAGTGGATGGCACAGGGAAGGTGTGTGAGAATCCAGCATGCGAGCATTTTGTTGTGTTTGTTGTACCACTCAGCCCTGCATCAGCGTCCACAACCTGTACTGTTTGCATTACTCATGGATGATTCTTTCCAACTAATAGTACCTGCTATGGCTGAGTTTGGGGAATAACTGAAACCAAATGGTAGACACCATTTTCAGCATTTCAAGTGTTCTTTGAATTGCTATCATGTGTCTCTCCCTAAAGAATTATGGATTCTTTGACAATAATCTTGACGAGAGATGCTGAATCACTTCACCTCTGCACTGTACAATATATCTGAATCCATAGCCTCCCAACACAGGCCCAAATACCCCAGGTCAAACACTACACCTTACCTTGCATGGAAAGACCTGCCAGGTGATTTTGCTTAATCATTAAAGGAGGCTCTTTCAAAATCAGTATTTTAAATCATCCCTTTGTTTGCCTTTTCCTCCACTCCCCACAAGCTCTCGAGATCCTGGAGATGATATTACAAGGTAAGTTTCAGGATGGGTAAAGGGAAGAGAGGTTATTTCAAAATGGAAGGTGAAAATAAAGAATTTATATTAAACTTGAGGCTAGTTTTCAGAAAGAACAAGTTGAAAATCTAGACACTGAGACACCATTGCGTCGGAGACCGAGGCGCGGCGGGTGATTACTTTCTTAAACTTCATTTCGTTTTTACTAGCAAGAAGAGAGTCCTCTTTCTGTGCCTAGCACAGCCATGGCTCGTGGTCCCACGGGAAACGTGTAAACTCGGGCCGATTGTAACTGCGTATTACCAAATATTTGTTTGTAATCCACCCTTTTGGTGGATGGAACAAAACCAAAAGACAGAGAGAATGTCTCCCCTCTCATCATTTTCCTAAGAATCAGACTTAAGTATGCCCTAACAGGAGATGAAGTAAAGAAGATCTGCATGCAGCGGTTCATTAAGATTGATGGCAAGGTCCGAACCGATATAACCTACCCTGCTGGCTTTATGGATGTCATCAGCATTGATAAGACAGGAGAGAATTGCCGTCTGGTCTATGACACCAAGGGTCGCTTTGCTGTTCATCGTATAACACCTGAGGAGGCCAAGTACAGGCTGTGCAAAGTGCGGAAGATCTTTGTGGGCACAAAGGGAATCCCTCATCTGGTGACCCATGATGCTCGTACCATCCGCTACCCCGATCCCTTCATCAAGGTGAACGACACCATTCAGATTGATTTGGAATCTGGCAAAATTACCGGTTTCATCAAGTTTGACACAGGTAACCTGTGTATGATCACCGGAGGTGCCAACCTGGGAAGAATTGGTGTGATCACCAACAGAGAGAAACATCCTGGTTCTTTTGACGTAGTTCATGTCAAAGATACCACTGGAAATAGCTTTGCCACCCGGCTCTCCAATATTTTTGTTATCGGCAAAGGCAACAAACCATGGATTTCCCTTCCCCATGGAAAGGGTATTCGCCTCACCATTGCTGAAGAGAGAGACAAGAGACTGGCGGCCAAACAGTTGGTGAAATGAACTGACGTGACATGATTAGAAGAGTCTTTGTACTTAATTAAAGATAATGCAGCATGGGGGGGAGAGGGGGGGAGATGGGGAAAATGGACACTCCCACTACGATGCTAATAATTCCTAACCTAAATTTCATTCCCTTTTCCTGTGGGACTTAACAGCTAAATGAGTATGACAGTCCTTTACCCTAAAGTCATTCTCACTTCAACCTCCTCCTTTTTTTAGACACCCGAGTTAGTTCATTGTACTTTTCAGTTTGTAACCAGCTATCTGCTCCTGAAAAGCTCTTATTTCATTTATTTGCTTATTCCCTTTTAGTCACATTTCCTACTTCCTATCTCATAGCTGCATGGGCAATTACTCTGATGTATTTTCAGCATATATTTGAATTTGTAGGTTTCTAGCAAAATAAGTAGTTTTGTTTTGACTTTATGTAATTGTAATTAAAATGCAAATACAAATTTTAGTTAATGGTAATGTATTAATATTGGTTTATGAAATGTAACAAATACAGCATACCACTGTAGGATGTCAGTAATTAGTGAAACTCATGCCAGGTACATGACAGCTCTGTACTATCTTAATTTTTCTGTAAATGTAAAATTACTTTAAAAAATAAAGCCTATTAAAAAAAAAAGAAAGAAAATCTAGACACTGATTCCCTTAAAAAGAAATCCCTTGGAATGTTGCTTAACTCAGATTGAAGATTGCTCTTTTAGAGAGATTTTTGTAGATCATGCCTCTGATTAGACAAAATATTTAAGTGGGACCACACATCTGTGTTTCCTAGTTCAGCTAACAGCTGATATTCCTGGTGCCAGCCTTTGACATTCCAAGTTTCCTGGCCCTTCCAATTATTATATTCTGTGATTTGAAAATTCTATAGTAAATTTGAATGCTTTTCTAAAGGTCACAGAGAACCAATAATAATTTTTAACAAAAAGGCTATGTGGCAAAGCAGTGTTTCTCAAAGATGAATGTGGCCATATTGTGTAAGGTGGGCTATGAGGAAAAGAAAGTTGAGAGATCAGTTAGGAAACTATTATAGTTGACTCTGAGGGAGGTTTCAAGGGCTTGGACTAAGGTGGTAGGAGGAAACCAAGATGATATATCTTCCTTCTTTTTATTTACTACTTCTTTCTGATCAGTAAAACTGTAACTTTATTTGGGAATCCACATCTCAGGAAAGATGACCCTAAGCCAATTACAATAGTCTACTCCTTAACAGTGATTGTTTTAACAATGGGCATGTGACCCAGTTTTGTTCAATGAGATGTGAGAAGTCTGCAAAGGGACTTCTAGGGGAGATTTCTTAATTCTGACTAGATGTGCATGAGGAGGTGTCCTCTGCTGTATTTGCACATTGGGGTGTTTCATTGTGATGCCCAGATCTCTGCTGTTATCTTGTAATCAGAAAGGCAGCTGCCCTGAAGATGGGTAAACAAAAAGACAGAACAACCAGGGAGGGTCCTTGATCATATTGTCTAGCCACCCAGCCTCCTGATTTCTGAGGAAACTGAAGAGAGAAATGAGGAAGGCCAGAGGAAAGGAAGGATTTGGAGGCAAATGATGAAACTCTCAGTGTTATAAATGTTGAATGTGAAAAATAGTGGTGTTTCTATGTGAAAATTGCCAGCACCTAATCAGAGGCATGGAAATAAAGCTCAGGGGTGCTATCAAGGCCCAAAATATCAATATAAAAGCTATTTGCAGAAACAAATATCTGTAAGGGGAAGTGGGGAAGGGAGCATCAGCCATCTCCTCATATCCCACAGCTAACTCTTTTAGGGGAATCTAACATCAAAGGAAAAAAATAATGATAAATGACCATCTGCTTAAAGAAAACCCAGAGAGACATACCTCTGCCGACCTACTCCTAAGGTATAGATATATTTATATTTATAGTCTACTCCCCAAATTCATTGAGAGTGGTTTTTTTTTTTAGACAATTTAAACATCTCTGGGGTTTTTTGTTTGTTTGTTTTGTTTTTAATTTTAAAAGACATTTATTAAAGTTGAGAACAGTGAAACAAGAAAGGGCTGGGGAAATGAACTGAGGCTGGGCTGCTTTGGCTCACTTAGAAGTCAGAGAAAAGGGGGCCTTGGGGACAGGTTCAGGGGTTTGCCTGTGACAACTGCCACTGCTCATGGCTGCCCTGGTTGCAAGTCTCATGGGTGGGGTCCCGTAGAGTTTAGAAGATGCATGCCTTGGAGGAAGAAGTGGGGGCACACAGGTGTGTTCCTGGAACCTTTTTTTTTAAGTTTTTTTTAAAGATTTTTTTGTTGATTTTTAGAGAGAGAGGAAGAGAGAGGGAGAAACAGTGATGTGAAAGAGAAACATCTATTGGCTACCATCTGCACACCCCTCACTGGGGATCAAGCCCAAAACCTGGGCATGAAAACGGCAACTTTTTAGTGCACAGGACAATGCCCAACGAACTGAGCTACACCTGCCAGGGCTAGACCTTTGTTTTTGTTTTGTTTTTTATTAACTTTTTTTATTGATATCAGAGGAAGGGAGAGGGAGAGATAGAAACATCAATGATGAGAGAGAATCATTGATTGGCTGCCTCCTGCACACCCTACATTGGGGACTGAGCCTGCAACCTGGGCATGTGCCCTGATGGAGAGTCAAACCATGACCTGGTTCATAAGTCAATGCTCAACCACTGAGCCACACCAGCTGGGCCAGACCTTTTTTTGAGGGGTTTTAATGGCTGGGCATTTAAGGGAGGTCTAAGGGGAGGATCTTAACAGAATATTCATCTGCCTTTGGCTGATGTATCAAAATGAGGTTTATTCTTTTAACTTCATCTGTCCTTCGGTGTGGCTGGCAAAAGGCACCAAATGAGTTTCTGCTGTCTCCCTGAGTAGGGTGATTTAAGCGATTTACCCTCTGGCTGGGGAGAAGTGCAAACCAAAAAAAGATTTCTTTTTGTTGTTGTTGTTAATCCTCACCTGAGGATACTTTTCCATTGGTTTTTAGAGAGAGTGGAAGGGACGGGGAGAGACTGAGAGAAAGAAACATTAATGTGAGAGAGACACATTGATTGGTTGTCTCCCACACTCCCCCCAATTGGGGCCGGGATCGAGCCTGCAACTGAGGTACATGTCCTTGACCGGGATTGAACCTGGGACTCTCCTGTCTGAGGGGCTGACACTCTATCCACTGAGCTAAACCAGACAGGGCAAACCATTTACTCTTAACTGTTCCTGGTTTAAGAAAGATAGGATTTACTAGATAGATGCAAACTACTTGGCATCTAGATTTTCTAGATGGCTTCAAACTGCTGTTTAACTATCTATTTCCCTATTCCAGTTGTCCTGGTTTACTAGTCTGTCTCATTTCCCCCTCAGACTCCATCCCCAAAATCTTTTAGGTGTTGTTACCAGTGAGAGGATGAGACCTCGGTTCTTGTCTTCTTGAAGGAAAGATTTCAATCAAGAGACAAAGTGTAGAAAAGCAAGCAAGAATTTATTGACAGCAACAAAAACACACTTAGGACAGTGAAACAAGGGAGGGCTTAGAAGCAACAGGAGAGCCTAGGCTGGGCTGACTTAGACCACTGGGAAGTCAGAAAAAAGGGGGCCTTGGAGACAGGTTCAGGGGGTTAACCCAGGACTAGCTGCCATTGCCCATTGCTCCCCTGGTTGCAAGTCTCATGGGGTCCCTTGGAGTTTAGGAGACATGTAGGGGAAGGGGAGGGGAAAAGGAATGGTATGGGTGTACTCCCTGGAGGGAGAGCCTGCAGTGACCTTCCTTTTGAGAGGTTCCAAAGGCTGGGTGTTTAGGGGAGGATCAATAGAATATTCATCAGCTTTATGCAGATATACCAAAATAAGATTTATTCTCTTAATTTGTCTGTCCTTGAGTGTGATTGGCAAATGGTGATAATTGGATTTCTGTTATCTGTCTCCCAGAGTAGGGTGATTTAAGCTATTTAGCCGCTGGTTGGGGAAGGAGAAGTGCAAACCATTTACTCTTAAAGTGTCCTTGGTTTAGGGAAGATAGGATTTATTAGGTGGCCACAAATTGCTGTTTAACTATCTGTCTTAGTTTCCCTATTCCTCTTGTCCTGGAATTTTCCTAGCTTCTTACCATGCTATAACATATTTAGCAGATAGTAGGCACTAAGTAATAAAAATTCTTATAATTTTTTTTTTTCGAAAGTAGCTTTTCTCGCCCTAGCTGGTTTGGCTCAGTGGATAGAGTGTTGGCCTGTGGACTGAAGGGTCCCAGGTTCAATTCTGGTCAAGCGCACATACCTCAGTGTAGGCTCCTCTTCCGCCCGGGCCCTGGTCAAAGGCATGCAGGAGGCAACCAATTAATGTGTTTCTCTCACATCGATATTTCTCTCTGTCCCTCTTTCTTCCACTCTCCATAAAATCAATGTAAAAATATCCTCAGGTGAGGATTAAAATAATAATAATAATAATAATAATAAAGCAGTTTTTTTTTTTACTTTAATCTTGTAAACTGAAAAGGTACTCTCAGACACATTCTGATTGACTAATTTAAAAAAACAAGCAAGACCAGTCTTCCTTTGACTACAGAGGCCAAATATCAGTTTAAGAAGCTTCATTTTTTTACTACTGCTTACCAGACTGGCCATGGCATTTCTGAGATTGCAAGGGCTGTTGATTTTGTTTTGCTGTGAGACTAGCCACATGACACAGTCCAGACCACTGAAGTGATTGCCTGAGTTGTCCCCCTATGAAGTCAGCTGTGCCAGGAGGGTGTCAGTTGTGGAATTCTCACCAGCACATAAATTAGAGTTTAAAATGTGAAAGTTATCAATATTTGTTGTAATGTACTCCACGAATCACAGAAGGACACCTCAAGAAGTCGAATTAAAGAGTCACATGTATTGCAATCTGGGACTATGAGGGGCCATTCCCAAATCTCATAGTAACAAGATGTTCGCAGCTCCAGGGTTATATAGGCAAAAAATCACAAAGGTATTGATTACATCTCAAGGTTTGGAATGAGGAACCTGGTTTGCAAAAAAAGCAGTTTACAGAAGCAGAGGCAGCATGTTAATTATAGTTTTGGGTCTTGG